GAAGTGGTGCTGTGGTTCAAGTGGCAGAGTGCTAGCTTTGAGCTGAAGAGCTGAGGGATAGGGCCCAGTCCCAGAGTTCAGGCCCCACAACCAACAAAAAAAAGGAAAAAGGCTGTTATTATAGTATAATACTATATTATAATATATAAACTATAGTTACAATATGTAATATATATTACAATAATACTACGTTACCTGATTGTAATGCTAGATAGTGACTGGTGTTGGTGGCTCATGCTTGTAATGTTGGCAGAGTGCTAGTCTTGAGCACAAAAGCCCAGGGACAGCACCTATGCTCTGAGTTCAAGCCCCAGGACAGGCAAAAGACAGAAAAAGATTATGGTCTCAGGGTCTTTCCTCTTCCTTGCTATAACTAAGAATGACCCAGAATATAGTAGGTTCACTTGAAATGAGAAAAAATCTTGGACTCTGAATAAACAATTCAAACTGTTTTTGGTTTTGGGGGGGAAAAAACCTGATTTAGGAATGGAGAAAATTGTGGTTTTATCTGGGTGCTGGTGAGGATTACACTTGTAATCCTAGCTACTCAAGAGGTTGAGATCTAAGATCTGAAGCCAGCCCAGTCAGCAAAATCCGAAAGACTCTTATCTCTTAGTCACAGAAAAAGCCCGAAGTGGTACTGTACCTCAAGTGGTAGAGTGCTAGCCTTGAGCAAAAGGAGTTTAGGCATAGTGCTGAAGCCAGAGTTCAAAGCTCAGGACCAGCAAAAAAAGAAAGAAAGAAAAAGAGAGGGGGGAGGGGAGAGAGAGAGAGTAAGTAAGTAAGTTGTAGTTTTGGGGGAAAGGGTTTATGCCAGTACTAAGGCTTGAACTCATAGCTTAGCTTTTCTGCTTAAAGCTGGCACTCATCATTTGAGCCACACCTCCACTTCTGGCATTTTGCTGGTTAATTAGAAATAGAATCTCATGGATTTGTATGGGGTGTGTCACTGTAGCCTGGTATGAGCTTATGGTTTTATTATACTTGTTCTGCCACTACAAAGGACTGAGTATTCCTCAAATTTAGGGGTTACTTGATTCTACATGGTAAAAGGAACAAGGTGGAAATCTCAAGAGTAGTGAGAGCAGTCTTCTCAAGCTGGGGGTAACCTTGCTCAGAATTACTGTCTTGAATCAACAAAAGTCTTGTGGGTGGGCAAAAGGGCAGCAAGTCATTCTGCTGAAGTGGAATCAGAGTTCCATGGATAGAGTGGCCTCCTCCCCCTTCATACTGAACTAAATGCCTTTTGTTACATGATTGGAGGCCTGCTGTCAGGAGAGATAAGTTTCCATAAGGACTTTAGTCTTTTAGTGATTAGGTAATAGCCCCTCCTGTTGCAGGCACTTTTGAATCCTTTGTAACCTTCAGTAGTTAATATTTAAGAGAAGCATTCTCCTCTGGGCTCTCACTGGGTTCTGATGTTGATATGTGGTTTTCCCATGTGCAAAAGGACATGCCTTCACATCAAGCTTGCTAGGGTCACACTGGCCATGTAGTCCCTTAGTGCTGAGCTCAGTGAGAGAAGCCATGGGGACTGGTATCCAAAGCCTCTTAGGTTCCCTGTCATCACCTCTGCTAGAGCAGATGTGGTCTTCACAAGATGTTGCTGCTGTGGTGGAGAGCCTTCCATGGTGGGCACTGGAGTCCAAGTACTTTGATTTTGCAGGCATGGCTCTAAGCCTAATGATGTCTTGCTTGAGATAAAGACTGCTTTGAAAGCCCCAATTAGGAATTTTCTGGTTCAAGATGATAGACAGTTCCTGTTATTGGCCCTGCCAGACAGGATGATTGCTGTGATCTGGAACTTTTTAGCCTATTTTTTCAATGGTTTTGTTTGTCTAGCAAATTATATGCATGTACTCTTGGAAAATGGGCTCTCTTGTGAGTAGCATCTTTTCAGTCAAGATATCCTTCCTCAAATAGGCCTCCTTTCTGGGTTACCTAATGGAAACCCCTTCTTCCCTGCCCTGTCACCCCTAGGACTAGTTCTTGTCCTTACAATTAGTGCCTGTGTTTGTCCCAGAGGAACCCCCAAGAGGGACAAGCTCCAGTCAGATTTGTTCACCATCATAACAGAAGCTGTCCCCGCCTCCGTCCCCAATAAGTATGTGCTGAAGTTTTTACATGAGCATTTAACCAAATTAGTGGAAAAGCATAGGAAAACATAGCTATTGGTTAAAGAAGGGCAGTGTCTTGAATGTTCAAACTTGTACATGGGAAATACCACTGATTTCGAAATTAATTAAGCACATGGGGGAGGATACAGTCAGCTGTATTTTTTTTGGGTGGGGGGATCCGGTCATAGGGCCTGAACTCTGGGCCTGGATGCTGTCCCTCAGCTCTTCAACTCAAGGCTAGCGCTCTACCACTTGAGCCACAGTGCCACTTCTGGCTTTTTTCTTTTTTGCTTATGTGGTGCTGAGGAATCGAACCCAGGGCCTC